ACGGACGAAAAGGTAATTTGAGATAGAATTTTCGTGGTGAAGGTATGTGGATCCTTTAATTGATGGGCTTGAGGAATCTTTAATTAGTGAAAATGGTGAAAATATTAGTTTTATTTGTGGAGCAATATTTGATTTATTTGTGGAATTCTTTGGTTTATGCATGAAAAATTATTTGGTCTATTCTTAGAATTACTTGGTTTATTCGTGGATAAATTACACGATTTGCTCGTGGAAATATTTGGTTACTCGTGAAGATATTATTTGTGGAGCAATATTTGGCTTACTCGTGGCATTATTTGGTTTATTCGTGGAGAATTGTGTAATTTCTTAGTGGATATCATTTGATTTTGTCGAGAAGATATTATTTGATTTATTCATAGAGGATTATTTGATTTGCTCGTGGAGAATTATGTGATTTATTAGTGGATATTATTTGATTTAGTCGAGGAGATATTTGTTGGTTTATTCGTGGAAAATTATATGATTTATCCGTTAATATTATTTGATTTGGTCCAGGAGATATTGTTTGGAGTATTCGTAGAGAATTGTGTGATTCATTCGTGGATATTATTTGATTTGGTCGAGGAGATATTATTTAGTTCATTCGTAGAGAATTACGTGATTTGTTGTAGCGGTTTGTTGATTCATGGTTGTGTGAAATTCTGGTCGACTTTGCCTTGGAGTGGGGTTATGTGATTTTATATCGTGGTAGAGAGGCTTGTTGGTAGATTGGGGTGTTGAATAGAAACGCGTGGATCTATTTGATTGCTTTAATTTATTCATCTCTTGTTATTATTGCTTATTGGAATTGCAAATTGGAGTATGTGGATAAAATATGACTAATGGTATTTTTTTGAATTCTTGCTGAGGAAAATACACGAGCATGTGTATTGGATATTGGTCACAGTGAGGAGAGGAAAGCAAGGAGTAAATGGCCACGCAGGTCGTCATGTACAACCAGGAAAGGGAGGTCAAAAAATACATTTGATATTTTTTATTGTTATTTCGTTCAACGTAATTATACATTTGAGGATACTAACGGAAATGATCGATTACTATCATATCTTGTTGTGTTTGGTATTTTTCCCTTTGACCTCAGTGGCAGGTCGTTCGAGTGAAGAGCAAAGCCCCTCATTTTTGGAATTTCCCGCTCAAGGGGTGGGCAAGGGTCACTTGTTTCGAACATTCCTTGGGGTGGGCAGGTGGTCGAAAAAGTCTACGCCTCCGGGCTGGACGACCACCATGTTTTCGAAACATCCCTTGGGGTAGGCAAGTGTCAAGACCAAAGCCCCTCGTTTTTGGAACATCCCGCTCAAGGGGTGTGTGAGGGTCGCTTGTTTCGAACATTCCTTGGGGTGGGCAGGTGGTTGAAAAAGTCTACGCCTCCGGGTTGGACGACCACCATGTTTTCGGAACATCCCTTGGGGTGGGCAAGTGTCAAGACCAAAGCCCCTCATTTTTGGAACATCCCGCTCAAGGGGTGGGCGAGGGTCTTTTGTTTCGAACATTCCTTGGGGTGGGCAGGTGGTCGAAAAAGTCTACGCCTCCGGGCTGGACGACCACCATGTTTTTGGAACATTCTTTGGGGTGGGCAAGTGTCAAGACCAAAGCCCCTCGTTTTTGGAACATCCCGCTCAATGGGTGGCGCGAGGGTCGCATGTTTCGAACATTCCTTGGGGTGGGCAGGTGGTCGAAAAAGTCTATGCCTCTGGGCTGGACGACCACCATGTTTTCGGAACATGCCTTGGGGCGGGAAAGTATCAAGACCAAAGCCCCTCATTTTCAGAACACCCCGCTCAAGGGGTGGGCGAGGGTCGCTTGTTTGGAACATTCCTTGGGGTGGGCATGTGGTCGAAAAAGTCCACGCCTCCGGGCTGGACGACCGCCATGTTTCGAACATCCCTTGGGGTGGGCAAGTGAGAAGACCAAATCCACTTGTTTGTGGTACATCCCGCGATAGGAGTGGGCAAGGTGGTCGATCCTAGTGTTGGGTCGTGAAGACATGGAGCCTATTGGAGACCTCGGAGGCAGGTCGATGATTTCTGTTTGGTTCTATTTGGTTTGATATTATTGAATATTGGTCCCTAACCTCAGTGGCAGGTCGATGAAGCTCATTACGGATAACTCGAGCACATTAATGGTTTTATTGGATTTGGTTTTGTGGTATTTTTGCTTTTAACCATAGTGGCAGGTCGATCAAGCTCATTACGGATAGCTCGAGCAGGTTAATGGTTTTATTGGATTTGGTTTTGTGGTATTT